TCCTTCGCCCTGTACAAGCCCCCAGTCCCACCAGCAGCCAATGACCCCTCATCAGCAATACCAAGCACAGGCAAACCATTTCGAGATAAACTTTTCTCCAACTTGATGACCCTGCCACCTGAACCTTAACAAAAACCCAGCTCTAATCACTTATGTGTAGTTCAGTGATATTTTTTTCACCGCAGCCTAAAAAGTTGTTTTCAAGCAGCACATGCCACCTTCAGGTCTTAGATCAGTGTAATAGCCCTTTTCTGAATTCTCACCTTATTCCAGCTCATTTTTATCTGCATGTCAACATTCATATATTAAATCTACTCCAGCCACTCTTTATTAGCCTGGCAGCACCTTTTGAATCTATGGCTTACTCTGAATTATATCCATATCCCATGCAGTACCTTGCACTGCTTTACACCAGCACTTCCTTACCTCACTTCATCTGTCAGCACCATGCATGAACTAAAAGATGCATCTGAGCATTTTAAGATCTGCTGATGCAGCCTCAACCTTTCCACTAAAATTAGCACTTTTTGACCCACCACCCAAAAGTCATATAGAAAATTAATAAACTTATCTAAACTATTTTCTAACTTAAAAGAACTGTGTTTTATCATGGGGGGATAGGGGAAATTAAACTCTCTTTTACTTTTATTTGAGAGGCAGCATCCTACAGAACACTGACATATTGCTCTGCCATTTTCAAACAGGAACATCATTTCAACCTGCTCCATTCTGCTGCTTTTCTTGAAATCAAATAAAATTATTCCAGTAAGAGAGGGAGCATATGCTGTCACAGCGCATCTGAAAATAGTGTGTGCATCGGCCAGCACTGTGACAGCTGAAATGCAGTAGAGGTGTTTCTTTTGAAGACATTTGCCAAGGAACAAGTCTTAAAGCCTTTCCTTGATTTCCTGAAAGATACTTATAATTGCATCAGCAGGCATACTGCTCCTGAAGTTTGCAGTCACAGGCTGGCCTGACTTTTGGAACTATCCAATACCTTACCATAGTTCTGAGTGCAAGTGCCTATGCTTTTTAATTGTAGTCAGTCCTGGAAATGCACAGGATGAGTTTTCTTCCCAGTAATTGCCCTTCTTCTCCTCCAGTATCCTTAGGGTATCAATGTGTACATTGATATGTATTGTCACTACTTGCTCAGTTTGAGGGTGGCCCCTCTTGTTCCCACACCAAACTCTAATTCTCTATATATTTAAAGAAGCGGGACAAGCTGAGCCTCTAGTAACCAAAACATGATTAATAATGATGTGGTTTCATCCTGGTTCAATTCTAATATAAAAAATATCCTACATTTGGACTTACTTTATAGATTAGGCAAGAATCTTACAGATTTACATGACTCCATGGCTATTACTGAAGTTTTGTACTATGCCATCTTAGACTCTGCCACTTTGGATGGTTATAAAATGCATATATTATAATTTTTTTAAATGCTGAGTATACATTTCATCCAAATTATAAATTCATTATCATATCTGGTATGAAAATATGTAGATAGCTGCAGAATAAACAAAACATAAAATGAAACCTGAATTAAAGTAAAAATCTTTTGTGGACTAATACATATCTTTTTATTATGATAGGAGAAAAAAAGGTTGACATGATGGTGTTTTAAAATCAGAAACACTGACACTGCATTATAAATTATTCTCTCTCTCTTTGTACTTCATATTCATATAGTCTTAAGCGTTTGTGATATCTCACCTCCAGGCATCCTTAAGTATGCTTGAGAACCAGAATAAATGCAAACTCAGAAGCCTTCTTGAACTTTAAGATGAAGGCCACTATGAATTTACTAGAAAATTCCATTAAATTCCTCATGCACATTCTCTACTGTCATTTCAGCACATTTATGATAAGAATGTGGAGCTGCCTGCTTTGAGTAACTCTTCTACCTGCTATCTACTGGCTTGCCTGTCTCTGTTAATAGTGCTTTGGATTTCAGAAGATAATACAGTCTGGAATGAAACTATCTCAGGTTTAAAAAAATTATTCTCAGACATTAATTTTAAATATGAAGTAGAAATAGCTGTGTTTAGCTAAAAATGATTAACGGGATTGGATTTAATGTGCCAATTTAACATATTACAGTGATTTTATAAGCTGTGAATCTTCTTTCCAGAACACCTTGTTTCTATTTCATGATAAAAACATTCCCTCTTTCATTTATCTGGATGAGAACACTGTGTGAAGATAAATTACATGCCACAAGTTTCCACATACCATCACACCCCTCACCTTCTGATACAGAAAGCTCTCTTAGAACTAAATTAACAGAAAGAGCTTAACATGTTAATAAAATAAGGCAGGAACTTGGTTTTATGGGATTATGCTGAGCAGCATAATGAACCAAAGGATCCCAAGTATTTTGTCATGCATTTCATACTCAACAAGATAACCAAACAATCGTTTTCAAAAAAGGAAATCTACTGTTTGTTATTTAGAGTAACCATTTTAAAGCACTTACTTGATTTAGAGTCACAAACCCCTAATAAAACCAGTATGGTTTAACATGAGTTAAACATAATAACCTCTGATTTCAGAGGTTATTATGAACTAAGGGATGTAGATAAGCATCCAGTGGGATCTTCTAAATATTGAACTGTCTGTGTCTTATACCTGTTAATATTTTGTGTCCATGTAGGGCAGGAAAGGAGGGAAAAAGATTAGTAGGTCAGTTATATCTCAAAAATGTCACCCTATCTCAGTATAATTATATTAGCTAAAAAAAAAGAATACAACTTGAATGCAGCAATATATTTGACACTAAAATAGAAAATAAATTAATCCCTGCAATTAATTACACGCAATCTAGATGTGTGCAAAGGATCAGGATATATGACATGATACAGGTATTTTATCACATCACACACCGTTAGTCCTTTGACTTTATTCCCTAACATGAATCTTTTTCAGGGCAAAGTAAATGTAAATCCTGAAGACACTGGAAAATAACAGCTGAAGGTTACACAGGTAACACTCAAACTATACACTCAAGCATTGTATTTTAAAATTTAAAATAACTCAGTCAACCTGATTAGACTATGCTCCATCATGTGCATAAACCCAGAACATCTAACAGATATTTTTGAGTTAAAAATGCTGTCTCTAATGATTTGACACCGATGTTTCATAAGGCTTCTTGGCTGCCAACAATCACATCCATCTGTTGTGTTGGCAGCATGCTCAATCACAAGGTGTGCTGGATTTCTTCATTTTAGGCACCATTGCCAGAGAAATACAAAAACCTTTGAACTGAGTGTGAATGAATTCAGAAAGTACCAGTTAAAAGCTATCTGAATGGGACAACAAACTTTGGGCAAAAGATAAAAAGCAGAGGAAAGAATTTAATAAATCTAACAATGGTCATATCATTGCTTGAAGTGGGCAAACATTGAAAAGAGTCATTACTATCCAACAGTCATGCTAAATGATACTTCCCAAGAGACACATATTGGAAGTAACAGCACTATCTTCTATTTCTTCCACAGAGCTTAAAGACCACTTCTTGACTTCTTTCTCATACATGTGCATATATAACTATACATACATATAATATCAATACACATGTGTGTACTGAACATATACATACGTATAGCATATATATATATTATAGACAAATATATAATTACAAGATGTGCACAAAATATATATACACAGATAAATTTTACTGACAAGCCCTCTGTGGTTCATTACAACTACAAGAAGCAAAATCTACTTGCTATAAAGTCTTCAGTTTATTCCCAGGGGAGGGAGGAAGTTAGTCACTCAGTGCTTCTACATAGCAAAACACATTTTACTGCACAGATAAGAGGGGAAAAAGCCACACAAAACAGTGCGGCTAATCCATTAAGAGAAGTTCTGTATGTTCTTGAAAAATTCTGCAGCTTCAAACTTTCTTCCTTTTTGAAGGAGAATTAGGAAGAGGTCTTCACTTGGGCAACAGTTTTTCCAGCCATCATTTCCATGCTAGCCACCAGTATATTGTTTCAAAAGTATTTAAGCAGGAAAATCTCACTGGAATTTCTAGTTGGGTTTTTTTTCTCTGCAACTATCAAGAGATCCTTAAATCAATTTATCAGCTATAAAACCTGGTATCAGCACGCAAAGTAACTTTCAGATGAATGCATTTCCCTTTAATCCACTACACAAATTCAGCCTTACTCCTCAAGTTCCTAAATTTTAGTTTCCTTTTTATTTCTTCCTCTGCACGGTCTGACCAAAAAAGACTAAATTCATAGGAACAAAGCTTAGTATTTTAACATTCACTTCCAGATAACTTGGGTTTTGCTTTCCTAGAACTGTGGTGACTATGCATATCAGGAGAGCAGAGGAGCAGTTTAGAACCCCTGCATTTGGTTCAGCTGTCGCCAAGAGCTGAGCCCTGCGGGAAGAATCCTGCTCTGTCGGCAGCATTTCTCTCTCAGCTGTTTGGCCACGGGCTGCATCGAGGAGCATCCTCACTGCCAGCCAGTTACAGTCTCTAGTGAGAATTGATCTGATTTTGGCAAGAATGGGCTTTACACCTTTGCCAAATGTGACCAGAATAGATGAAGACAGTCAGGTCCCTACACAGTCAATGCCTGAAGTGCCACTCGATAGTACATAACTGCAAACAGAGCAGCAATGGGATATTCAGATAAAAGCTTGTCAAGGAGTAGGAGGTTTTTCAGCAATCAAAAGTTCTTCATGATATTGTTTGATGAAACAACTACAACATATAGCATTAGATGTCANAAAGTGACAGGAAAATATGAGAATGCTAATCAAACCAAAAAAAAAATAAAAGTCCGTACTAGAATGGAATATTTTAGCTGAAGTAGTGAAACAGTAATAACTATTTCATTTTTAATACTATTTTTGTAGGAGTAATTCTTTGAGGTTTCAATCAATAACTGCTACTTTGTAATTTCTACTTATTTGAGGAGTGTGCCACAGAATCTTCACACAAGAAGCTCATTGTATGAAAGCCTCAGTTTACTCACCACAGAACAGCTCCATCTATAATTCTGCTGGCTTGTTGATCACCATCTTTGTGAACTTCAAATTATATAGCTCTCTTCTTAGTCTGGAGGAAGATAAAACAATTCACCTTTTGTAAATATATCCATGAATTTTGCACACAAAAATACAAATACAGTCTGCAAGTACTTTAAGAAACAATATAGTGAATCAAAATTAAATTCAGAGCCTGACTCCATCACTTTGACTACTGAAGCAGTGTTTTCCAGCAACAAGATTGTTTTACAAATATTTTACATTAATGTCAGTATGAAATTATGTCAGTGTATGGCTGTAGAGTAAGAATCTGTAACTCAGAAAACTTAACTATGTTCTTTTGTGGTGTGATAGGGAGCAATGAAGATTGATAGTAACTGAGTGACATTCAATTTCCTCAGATTTTAGACCTTTCACCTGTCACATGCAGGAACACCAAGTTCTTTTCATGTTTTATTTTCTTAAAAATTGTTTTTATTTCCTTAAATATGTAAGATTAGTCTTCCACAAATATTTATATAAATTTTAATTATCAAGTTAAATTCATTTATCAGATTTTTATAATAATGAAAAATGGCAAATACATATATATAAAATACAATAATTTGTAAACTGAGATTATTTTATTTTATTTTATTTTATTTTAGCTGCTTTCACTTGTGGGAGATGAGCCTGTATCTGAATCACAGATTGGCAGTTATATCCAAAGAATCTCACGTGGAAAAACTGATAAACTTGAAACTGGTAGTTGAACAGCTCTAAGGAGGATAATGCTTTTGGCTTCAGATCTTAAAACAGTCAACATTACAGTACAGGTTAAAAGTATTATATATTCACTAGCAGATTTTCAAGGCTTTCATCACAGAAATGGGAAAGAAAGCAGTCTTGTAAGTCAGTCAGAGCATTACATCCCACAGTTAATTATTTGCCTGTGTAAAATTTTAGCCTAAATTAGCTAAACAGAATAAAATACCTTTATGACCTCTCCTGGAGTCTTCTACTGATGACACAATATTTTGTATTTTAACAGTTAGAAAGTCAGCATTTACCACACAGAACAGACTTTTAAATACACTTACACTGAGACAAAAGATAAAATAACTTAAAGGCCTAGTTCTCTTCTGCATTATATATCTGCTTAGCTCCATTGGCAATTCATCAATTGATAGTGATTGATCAGGTTCAAGATGATTTCAAGTGTTCAGATGGGCAGACAACGCAAGAGTCAGGAGTATGACATAATGTATGTCAGACAAATAAACCTACCAAAGCTTGGCATTTTTATAAGACTCTCCTGAAGACAATTATAATGAAATACATCCAGTGCTTCTGAAGGGTCCAGATTTCTGCAACACCCATGCTAACTCCAAGCCTCTGTACTCTTTTTGTCTCAAGAATATAGATGCTGCCCACCACTTCAGCAAGCTAGTACAAGGTATGCCTAAGCAAAGACAGGCCAGAGCCAAAATGATAACTTCTTTGTTATTACATGAACATGAGTTCATTGAGAAGTAAAAATCTCTCTTCCAGTTTTCCTTCCAACAGATCATTCAAAAGTTACCCGTATCATTATCAAACACACGAAGTCACATTCATCTGTAGTGACACTCGTGGAGCTCTTCATACAAGTTCTGGCTCTGAGAGAACGGCATAATTTTATATCCATATAAATCAGGGAAGTACTTCTCCCAGGGCTTTTCATACTATTCCTGCTACACCTCAGGCAAATTACATTCTTTTCAAGAGTAGCTCAAAGAATAATTTTTCCAGAAAGCAATCAATAAAATCTCCCCTCATGCCCTTCCATCTCTCTCTGCTTTCCTGAGAAATAAAGCCACCAGCTGCGCTGGCACCTTTGATAGATGACTTGAGTGAATTTTTCTGGACATACTCCCTCTCTCTTAAGCATATAAGTTGCAAAACTGTTGTTCTGCTGACCCTACACCATTGAGGTGGGTTCAACCATTCAGTAATCCTGGAGACACACTGACTGACTTCAATCTTGCAATGAAAGGAAACCAGCCCAGCTGGAAACCTAAAAATGTATGACGGAAGTCACACTGACTGTTCAGAAAGAGCGAAAAAATTTCACCAAAGTTAAGCAGTGTTTTCTCTAAATGAATAATAAAAACTGCATTACTGCTACGCAACAAATAGAGATGCAACAAAGCCTCTTCAGGCTTTAGGAGACTACATATATTTTTCTTCCTGAATTTACTAATTATATTATATATTTTTAAAATACTCTATATTCCCATCAAATTATTAACCTATCAATTATTTTAAAATAAGGCATAGATACACATGCAATAATTTCCTCAGGGGTATGTCATATTATATAATTCACCTATTTCTAATCATAAGCAGTAATAAAGACTTGTAATGACAAGTAGTATTTTATCACTGGTTATGGTTAACATACAATTTTGTGCTAAAGTAAGGATACATTTCATTTTTCTCCTACTCCTTAACATAAAATGGCAATGATCTTAATTTAACTTAGAAGTAAAACAAGAGCTAATTCAGCTACAAGGAAAGCAAGTCTAGTTATGTAAGCCTTGGGATGAAACTTCACTGCAAATGAAACATTTGAAATGAAAATCAGCCTGTTACACTTGCCTTTTTACTGGGCCTAGAAGCAATACAGTTACAGTTCATCCATTCAATCACTTCTGATTTCCAGAGCTTTTTTTCCAGAGGGATGTTTAAATGAGATACCTAAATGTATTTTATGCCAAACAGTCCAAGTATTAACAGAACTGACTTTGGGTCTTATACCTAAGAATAATTACAGAAATCATTTCATCTGTCATATGAAGAACCCAGAATAAAAAAAGCTGCCACAAAGCATTGTGTCATGTCACCATACACATGCACACACACACATTTTATACATGGAATATTGCAGTTGTTCGCTTTCCCTCCTACAGGGACACAGTCTAAGGTGGCAGCTTTCCTTGGGGAATATGCTATCATTAGATTTCCCATTAGGGCCTTTTCCGTGGAGAAAGGTTTTTCCTGTATCACAGGTTAAATCATGCTAATTTCAAACTAGAGGCAGTCACATCAAATTGATTTTTAGAAGCTGAAGAGAGGTAAGGTGGATAGTGTGAGAGGAAGCAGCAATGTGCGTTTTCAAAATCGTGCTTGCATATTCTGTGTTTCAGAAGCCCTTGAGATTTGCATTGCTCTGTTTGCCTCAGGTCTACTAATTCCCACTCTCATACCCACTGGCAGAACATCACCCACAGCACTAGATCTCTGTGTTGTAAGAAGAGCTATGGCTCCTTTTTGAACTTATGCAGCTTAATGTCACTGTTTCCTAGAATTAATCCGAAAGTATAAATATCAGACAGCTGTTATATCTTTGTGTCTGACAGACAGTAATTTCTTCAAACTGAACTGAGAAAGCATAACTAATACAAATAGTAATAAGGTATCTCTGACAACAGGAAGAGTCATCCTAAGAGTCCCATTTCACCTACGGGAAAATGAAAACCTCATTAGATATCAGAAGACCGTCTGAAGGAAGATTTGGGACCTTCATTCAAGAAAAGACAAAATTGGATTTAGGAAGTGTCAGATTCTGAGGTGTGAAGCAGTCAGGGATGCTGTCATCGCTGGGAAGATGCAGAGTGAGCTACTCCTGCTTGTCATGGATAGACTACTGTACATTCCAAGGAAAGCAAGTGGTGGGGGCAAGCAAGAGAAGAATGGGGGCCTTCTGAAAGTCTGTGAGATTTTTAGAATTTGCTGTCTCAGATAGGATGGCTATACTCATACAAAGAATTGAAAAAATCAGTCTTATTAAAGTATTTCTGCATAGTTTAAAATTACCCTCTTTTAACCTAGCTTATATAAATACATGCATTTGTGTGTAGATATACATATCGATTATATACTGGATCTCATCTTACAGCTTGAAAAGCTACCGTGTGAACTGTGTTCATCAGAAAACTGCAGGCTAGCTATTAGGCAACCAACTATTGCTGTTTAACTAATGAAGATTTATGCAAACCAAAAAAGTTCAAAACCCACCTTCGTAATTCTTCAGGAAGAAAATACATAGCGATTTTTTTTTGTTCTTGCTTTTAATAAAATTCAAAAGCTAGAAATGGGAAAAAATTACAAATTAAGGAAAAAAAAAAAGAAGTGTAAAATTCGTCTTCCACCTACTAAAGCACACAATGTACCACCTTCCACAGTATCCAAGATGGGAAAAGGTTATTTCTCAAGCATCCAAACATATTTAACCATTAATCTCTCTCTCTACCTCTCCAAAACAATTCCCAAGTAATTAAATTTTTTTCCATTTTTTTGAAAAGCCATTCCTCCCTTTCCTTAGGAAAGCTGGAAAATTCATATTACCTATTACCATTAACGAGCATGCCTTGCTTTAGAGTTGGGATCATAGGTCTTCTCCTGTTAGCTGTTAGTTTAACAACCCTACAGCCATGAAAAAAATTTCACAAACTCTACAAACTCCACTACATTACACAGAGGAGTGGAAAACCATGAGAATTATGTTGGGTGAGAGCAATAGTCATGCATTTATATTCAGGACAACATGGTCCTGTGACTACAATGGGAATACTGATTAACATGTCAGGATGTATAATTGGTCCCAATAAATGAATCCCTGAGAAATTTCTGGAATTTCCAAGTTCACCAGTAAATATAAATATATATATATATACCTGAAGTCTCTACTTAAGTGTATTTTATACCTGAGCATTATTTTCAGCTATAAAGAGCACTTATAAACAAGTTGACTAAAGACTTTGCTTTAACTCCACAGGTAAATTTAATCTCCTCTAACATCAGGCAGGGATCAGGCAGCTTTCCTCCCCAGCTTGGAAGGTTCCCATCACAGTCAGTGGTGAGAACTTCCTCTGGGCAATGACACAGTCTGCTTGTGACAGGCACCTAAAGCAACTCAAAACCTCACAGGTTCTCCTAAGCACTTAGTTCTGACTAGATGTCCAGCTGGTAGCAAAAGGCAATTAGGTGATAAAACTCTCACTTGAAATTAATGTGAAGACTCTGGGTTAGTATACTAAAAAGAGAACT